CAAGTGCAAACAGGATTCACTTTAAGAACATGCCGGATCCAGACACGACCATTGGCAAAAATAGAAGTCTATGTCACACGCCTCCGGTCAGACATCTCGATCGCGTCAGCCCACAGGTGCTGAAGGTTTGTTCGGCCGAATTCTGCTATTCATAATTTTTGCTTCCGGCACTCACCGACCTCCAGCAGTTTCCGTGTAGCTTCTTCACCCCCGTGCCAGAACAAACCTCATCTACAAATGATCCGCACAACTTACACCTTGGCGTCGATTTCTCTGAGGAGTTTCGAAAGCCTTATCCTTCCAATATTAGAAAAGAAGCTTGATGCGATCATGGGCTCATGGCAGTTCTCGTATCGCAAAGGTGTTCCCACCGAAGACGCGGTTGTCTGTTTCATCAGTCACCGTGCAAGCGAACTGTGCAAAGGAAGTCGCGTTGAGAGGACGGCATTTCACTCCATCCCTAGGGAGAAAAACTCTTAGACAAACAGTGTGAACTCGCCATTAATCTGTCCATCATTTGAAAGATCGTCCCATCATCCAGCTACTTCCGCTATATTCACTATTTGTTAAAGTTTGTCGAAAAAATTAGGATCTCAAAAAAATATTTGGACGTGTTCAATGATCAGCGCCTTCGGCTTGTAGCTCAGCATACTTTCGAGTGACTGCCGCAGTAATCATCCATTCAAATGCATTTATTATTACTGACGATATATTTGTCGTCAATATTAAGTAAATACCGCCATTTCGCGACAAGAAGTGAAGCATTTTCATTTAAAACCAATTATGTTAAATGCTGTGGCGCTTATAGGCAGTTAAATCTTCACAATAAGGTATTCGTAGACAAGAATGGCTTCATTTTGCCCCACGTATCGTTTCTTATCTGCGCTCGTGGTTTGTGATGGACTCGATGACGGATGATGGGGTTTCCTATTCTAATCATTAGGTGTTCTCTATGATTTAGATATGCAGTTGAATTACGATTCGTCATTTCAGTGTGCCAGCTGTATACCATATACATAAAAGATATAACGGGTTCTACGCGTTTGGATTACATCTATCTGTCACAGTATATCAGATCTGATGCGTTGTGCTCATGCGCTTAAAAACCTGAAGCATGTGTAGGTTCCTTAGGTGTCATAGAGATCGTCCCATCCACAGTCTGAAACATAAACAACCAATCTGGGATCCCATCTTTACTGTGTAGCATTTTCTCACCTATCTCAACATAGGATATCACTGCTTATTCCCCCTCCCATCCACTGTTAGTACCTTATGAAAATAAACATTTAGACAGGATGCGAATGCGTCATATTTGAGCACCTTCACAGGTACAGCAGCAATCCTCACACTATTCGATCAAACTATTTCTTGCACATTATTAACGTTCATGATGAGTTTGTAATGATCACCAAATTGTTCTAGAGAATCAAAAGATGCGTAATCCGCTGGTGCGCAGATAGCTTTGGAACTGTAGCTTGTTTAATGTCCCCTTTTTCCTTAGCCAACTAAGAAAAATATGATGGCGTAATATGCCATAAAATTAAGACATTTATGACGTTCACTGCTTGTCAACTCGTGCGGAAATATTTTCGACGTTCTATCAGCTGAACCTTTGAACAACCTAAACTATACAGAAAGCATAAAAAATCCTAAATTTAATAACTAACAATTATATAATAACCCTTAACTACGCTACTTGACAGGTGGTAAATTGACTATATTGCGACATTTCTACAACAACCTTCGAGATATGTCATACGATGTGTAGGCGCTGTTGGCAAAGCAGTCGTACAATTCAAGGTATACTATGGCATCTCCAACTACCTGCAGATATCGCCTTCCAAATTTGAAGTATTTTTCAACGGGTATTGAATGGGAGAACACAGCCACAAAATGATTCACTCTGACCTCAACGTGGGTGTAGGAGAAATCCAGCACCTCTTGATGGCATCAGGTGCAACTGCCTGGCACCTCACGCTCTGGCCTGATATGTCAGCAGGCCTTGTTCGCTGTAGACCTATCTGATGGTTGATTTTCTACCATACTTTGATAGTACGACAATCAACACACAAGATAAAACCGAAAATTCGCCGTGCGAAATTGTGTCGTAATTTTGTGGATATGTACTGTATCATAAAAACAGTAGTTTCTGTTGCGATTTATGTTTATTTCCATATTATGTTGTACATGGCAGAACGTAGGATAAAATCTATGGGTCTATGATGCACCCAGGTTCTATAATGTGCATATTTCTATTGTCGATTGTTGCAGTTTTATGGTGTTGTGTAATTTGATCGATTTTTAACGCTGTATATAGAATG